GGAAAATTATTATCAATATACAGAGTTTTCCAAACCAACTATATCATACGTTAATAGCAAAGTCTTGAGGTCATTTGGAGACAAATTCTGTGTAACTTTGTTCTTGATATGTTTATTGCATCTTTATTATTAATCCGAATTTTACTTTTGTTCTAATATGATATAATACACGTAATACCATTTAAAATATTGCACGATTTTGTATTCGCGTCGCGAACGCGTGTGAGTGCCTTAAAGAACTGAGAGAAGGAGGAGGCTCAAAAAAAGCATCGGAGACCGATCGAACAACTTTAGGATAAGAAATAATTTATTTATTATTTATTATTTGCAAATTATTGCACATAAAATATTATGTAATAGACGTACATAAAATAATTAATAATAAAAATTAATAAACGAATACGGTTGGTCTGGAGTACTTTGTATATTCATAAATTGCAGTAATAGCAAAATTATGTATTAAAATAGTATCGTTCATCAGTCGCGAGAAATGAATATGACTTTTTAGTCATGTTCTAAAATTTAGATAATTTTACTGACCAGAGAATAACCAGCGTAAAATAAAAAATGCATATTTTAATATAATTTGCAATCTGCATATTGAGATTAATTTAATACGCGTTCACGATCGTTCTCAAGCATTGATGAATTAATGTTATAAATTTATAACTCAAAAGATAGTTTTCTAAATAGATTAAATAAATATGATGATAGAAAACTTTTAATAAAGAGCCAATCGTCAGTAATATCATAATAATTGATCCTTTTTATTCAAATTTGTTCAACCAAAATACTAATTTTAATATTAAAAATGCAAGAAAAATTATGATGCAGTTAATGTTATAAAAAAAAATTTACATACTTTTACATACCTGATGATGATTATAATCAATGATGATGATCAATCGCGCATTTTTGCTGCACATCAATAAAAAGATAATCTCGATGCAAAGACGAATCGACGAGCTCTCGACGATTTCCATCGATTCTCCAAAGCAGCAACGGAAGAAACCATTGTGTTACTGTAATAATAATATAAAAATATTACAATAGATATTAGGCACTTTATGTGAAATATTCGCGATAATTTTTTGCATGTAAAATTTACATTCAAAGAATATTAAAGTAAATATGAGAAATAAACAAAACAGCAAAATATAATGCGCAATTATTTATAATAAAAATTAAAAATATGTCACCTACAGTAATTATTATGTATTTTCTACATTTTTATGCACTTTGAAAAATATTGCAATATGTGAAGAGAACAATTAAAGACATAATTAGACATAAGATACTTAACGCATTATTACAAATATTTAATATTCAATATTTTATGAAGAACACTCGCTCATAACTTTTTGCGTGCAAATTCATTGCGGAGCAGTTTGAATACCGCAATGCATATCATAATTTTCAATTCGAAATTTATCGAAAAATAAAATTACAATTTAGAAAGCATAAAAAAAAACGACAAATTTCACGATGGTGTAGAAATAACATTTAAAAATTGATAGTAATTATTGGACACAACTCCAAATAATTCATAACCAAAATAGTGAATTATGACAAAGAGTTTAAATGGTAATTATAAAATGAAGACACATACATACCTGACAATTATCATGCAAACAATGCATTTTTTATGTATTTTGAACAAGAAATATTGCGAAAATAATTTTAAACGATAATTATAAATAAGCATAGAAACAAATCGCCGATGCCGAGATAGCCGTAATAACGATTGCATGCGATTTAACGCATTACTATGAACATCCGACACGTTATGAGAGCCACTTGCCATAATTTCACCCATGATATTCTCGTACAACCCTCCCGTCAACGATTTCGTGATAACCGTGATAAGTACAGTAATTACCTTTGGCATCAGACTTGAAGAATGATCTTTACAAGCTACAACGAAGCATTAAGATGGCGGAACAGCAAACTTCGCAATAGTTAAAATTTAAATTTGAAATGTTGGTAGTAATTGATTATATTACTATTATATTACTATTATTATATTGGTATTATTGGAAATAGTTTTATCTGAGAGAAGACCATTGGGCGGTATTCATAGTCCGTTCTTATATTCAAGATCGTCTTAAGCACGAACTTATATTCGCTCTCTTTGTCAGACACAATCTATGTGTGACGAAGAGAGCGAATATAAGTCCGTGCTTAAGACAATCTTAAATATAAGAACGGACTATGAATACCGACCATAGAGTTCTATAACATACTGGAGCGAGCCTTCCTATCCCGAACAAAGAAAACTGCGTCCGCGATTTAGAAAAGGACACATATAGCAATGTGAGGATTTCTGTCTCTTTTTACGTTCTATTGCTTATGCTGAAAACATACGCTGACAAGGAAGACTAGCCTCACGTAAATCTATCTGTCTTTTTCGACCGATGAAGACATCCCCACTCCTGAAAGGCTCGCTCCAGTATATTATAGAACTCAATGGAGAAGACTGAGAGTGGACATGCCCGCATTTTACGTGTTTCCGTGGGTTAGCGCCTCTATGTGCACAAAACGTGCACATCGAACTACGTAGCCAATGTCCACGAATCCCGTAGGCAATATCCACGATCTTTTGGGTCTCTTCCGTGCTACGTCCACGACTTTTTGGTTTCGATATATGCTATATCTACAAAGTGTCGGTAATGCATACTTGTAAAACATGATTATGTATATCAATCAGATTTGAAATATAAATACACACGTGTTGTAAATACATGTATTGTAGCATTTATTTTTGCATTTACAGTTTATTTAGCAAAAGATCAGTTATTTTCAATAACCTGTAATTCGAAAATGTACATTTAAATTATTTTAATAAATTACTTCTATAATTTTGTGTGCGTGTGCGTGCGCGCGCGCGCGTGCATACAAATGTGCAAATTGTGTACCGCACAAAGTTTCATTTAACAATTAGGTTTTAAAATTTAATTCTATATTTTTAACACTACACATACACAAAATTTTGTATGCTTGTTCTGGAAGACTTAAATTTCTTCTAAAACAAATATTGTATATCAATTGAAAAAAACCGTGTCATAAAACTTGAAACTATGGGCCCGTTCGTTTTAGTTGCACTGGGGCAGCTCTGGGTTTGCTCTAAACAAGATAATACAGGACAAACTATTTATCTGTCCTGTATTATCCTGTGTAGAGCAGACCCAGAGCAGCCCCAGTGTAGCTAAAACGAACAAGCCCTATATTGGTCGCATCGAATACTTGTTTATTTTTTAAAATATGACTGTCCTAAAAATTACCCTTTTCAAAAATTGTGTATTTACCAATCCTTTATAAATCAGATATTGTCAAAAATTATTTTAAGAACATCTTATTTATAAAAGATTAATAAATAAAAATATGCAACAAAAATAAATGAAATAATGAGACAACAAAGGACTTTTTGAAATTTTTTAATTTGGAAATACATAATTTGCAGTTCAATATAACAGAATCGTAAAAAAAATTTGAAACATTGTGGTTTATAATTACAGAAAAACAGGTCATAACAATTCTTTACACGTTTTCACGTCACAAAATTATTCGCTCACGTTACCGACGAACCGACTAAAACAAATGCAGTCTACAAACTTCAATGGGTATTTGTTTCTGATTGTTGCTTAAGATAGTCAGTATAACATAGAAAAGCATTCAGTAAGCATCGATTTCCATTTATAACTTCT